AACACAGTCCCCCAGCAGTGCCCACCACAGCCCACCAGGCACAAGCACCCTTCCTGGCCCCAGGGATCAACAAGCAGCAACTGTCAGCAGGCCAGGCTCCAGAGACCCGACAGGACACAGGGGCCCATGCAGCAGTGGAGGGGACCACTGCCCCTCAGTGCACACCCCTTGAAGAATGACCAGGAGGGAACACAGATGGTGCGCCTCGGCATGGCCACACCCCTTCAGGCTGCCACCCTTGATCCTCCCTGTGGTCCCAGGAGGGACCACCAGGGAGCACTGGCTTTGGAGTCAGCCAGGACAGAAGCCCCGAGACAGTGCAGCTCGGCATCTTCCCAGCGTGGTCCCTGTGGGGACAGTCATGGGGGACACCCACGAACCAGGGCTGCTGCAGCCGCATTTCAGCAAGAGCAAATAAGCCGCAGTAGCGAGACTCGGGAGAAGACAGCCCTCGGGGAGGCGGCCGGCTCAGGGAGGAGGCAGAGGGCTGCTGTCCTGTGGTGGAGCAGTGCTCCCTTTTGGCGGATGAGGAAACAGGCCGAGTGACACCAAAAGACTGGCTCTCTCCCACTCTGGGTGGCACAGGCAGCCTGGGCTCAGGAGACACTCAGGAATTAGTAAGAGACTGTTCCTGGTCCCACCTACGTGTGGATTGGTGCAGAAGGCCACAGATGGTTGGTGACAGGGCCGTGGTGAGCTCGGGGCGGCAGGAGTCAGGAACCAACAAGCACCTGGAGCCCCCGGGGCTCGGGGTCCGCATCCAGGGCAGAGGACTCAGAATAAGGCTGACCAACAACAGAGAGCAGGGAGGGACCCTGAGAGACACAGGTCAGCAGTCCTCAACCAGGACACCACCTCAAGGACAGAGGGCCATGTCTGGGGATATCGTCGTGGTCACGACTGGGAATGCTCCTGGCCCAGAGTGGGCAGAGGCCAGAGACACTGCAGTGCCTGGGATGCCTCCTCCAGGGGCTGATCCGGCCACCCTGTCCACAGGCCCAGGTGTGCTGTAGGCCCTCCCGGAGCCTGGGCTCTTCCTCCAGGAATCAGCCCTCGTGGAGGGCTGTGGCCAGGCTCACGCTGGGCACTCTGCAGCAATGTGACACCCTGACAGCAGACGGCAGCACTGTGTGCTCACGGGACTGGATGTAGGTCCCCTGAGCTCAACCCCACCCCTCGGGGAAACCGAGGCACAGGCCTGTGCTGTCACAGCCGCAAGTGGCAGAGGTGCCTCTGAACCACAGAAAACCCAGACTTGGGGACATCTGGAGGACCCAGGAGGAGCAGGGTGCTCCACCCAGTTACGCCACCCCTAGGACCAGAAGCCACCAAAAGCACAGAGGCAGTGCAGGGTCGAGGGAGTGGAGGGGGCAAGGGGCACAGACCAGGTGACCAGCTGGGAGCTGAGTCCAGGGCAGCACGTGCAGATGGTGTGACGACCCAGCAGTGGCCTTCAGAGGACTGATGATGCTGCAGCCAGAGGGCAGGGGACCCAGGGTGAAAGCCCAGGCCTCGAGGCCACAAGCACACAGGGCCCTAGGGTGGCACAAGCCCCAAGCCAGTGACCCGGTGCTCAGAGGCCCAGTGCTACGAGCCGCTGGAGTCCTGCCACACTGCAGTAGCCCCCGGGCGCCCCAGGCCCTCGGGTGCCCCAGCAGCATCTGCTGTAGGGAGACAAGCACCCTGCTGGGGACCCTGCTTGGCTGCAGAGAAGGGACAGCTGGCCCCAAGGGCCTCGCCACCTGCCTAAGGTCTCTCTGACACGACTGCACCGTGACTCCCTCACTCCCGCGCCAGCGCCCTCTCCCATGGTGCAGCAGGGTTCTGGTCCCCGACAGAGCAGGGCTCCACAGCAAAAGTCAGCAAGTGAGCCCCTGTGGCTGGGGTCAAGGACAGCAGCTGGCAGTGCTGAGGCAGGAGGTCCAGGCAGGGACAGCACAAAGGACCTCAGTGACCCAAGGATGCCGAGCTCAGGGCCCACGGCCTGTACGCAACCCACCTCTGACCCCAGGATGAGCCTGGCCACGGAGGAGGGACACCACTTCACCTGCTGCCTTGGGAGGCCCGGGCCGTCTGGGGAGGCGCAGCCGCCCAGGGGAGAGGGCAGCTGAGCAACCGGGCCTCCTGCTGCCGCTTTGTTCTTTTTTTGGTCCTGGGGATTGAGCTGAGGGGAGCTTTCCCAGTGAGCCACATCCCCAGTCCTTTTACTTCTTACTCTGAGACAGGGCCACCATGTTGCCCAGGCTGGCCTCCAATGTGCCGCCGTCCTGCCTCACCCCCAGGTGCTGGGACGTCGGGGTGCGCCGCCACACCCAGCGGGTAATTGAATCTAAATGTAAAGGACGGAAGAGCGCATCCCGGGTGAGTCCTGGCCCTCTGCAGCGTGTGCAGGGTGGACAAGGCCATCTGAGGAGCTTCCTGCTTCCACAGTCTGTGGGTGCAAGACACAGGACCCTGCCAGAAGCCAGTAACCTGGATGTGCCCTCCCCACAGGGAGGCACGCCCAGCCCTCCTCAGGGATCCTGGGATTTGGCTGCCCACAGGGCCTGCGCAGGGAGGCTTCACCACCCAGCTTTCGGTTTAGAAAGCCTGGAGCCACTCGGGCTCAGCCTCGGAAGGACGCCGCGGGGCCTCGGGGCACAGTGTTCCCTGCCTCAGTTCCTCACCACAACCTGCCAAGGCCAGGCAGTGGCCTCCTGGGAGTCTTACCACCAAGTGACAGAAACGCAGCAGCCAGAGAGCAGGGACAGAGGCAGAGGCCTGGCGGCCCGATGGGAGCCCCGCACCCAGCTCCCCAGGGCCTCTGCTCCTCCATGCTCGCCTCCTGGGGGCCTGGCACAGGGGCTGGACAGCACACTCACTGAACAGACAGTCCCCATCTCCCAGGCCCACTGCTGGCGGTCATTGCCACTGACAAGAAAGCCAGGACAGGCCAGGGACAGCACCGCGAATAAAGTGGAACGTGTGTACGTGTCCTCCCGTGTTCTGAGCAATGAAACACATCAACAGAACTACTCGCACCACAGCCGTCACCAAAACTTCCCACAAGGTGACACACACTGTCACACAGCCAGCACTTTATACCATATGCCACCGTGTGACAGGGATCCTCAAGCAGGGGCGCTTTGCCTCAGGACACACTAGTCATCATCTGGACTCTTGGTCTGGAGCAGACAGAGGCCAGGACACTGTCCACACCCTGCAGTGCCCAGGACACCCACCCCAGAGAACAGCCCAGCCCAGCGTCCAGCGCTAGGGAAGTGCTGCCCGGAAGCCCCGCCCAGCTGAGCAGCCTCACAGGTCACCGGCTGCTGGGAGCAGTGAGGGGCAGGAGCCGGAGGAGCTCCTGCCCAGCGACCTCTGCCTGATGCACAGCAGGTGCTAAGGCAGCCACTCAGCCCTGCCTGGGAGCCTGGAGGAGCGCAGGGCAGGCCCTGACACCCCACCCTGTAACTTAGCAAAGGAGCCATGGGGGGACCAGGGAGAGAGTTCCAGGGAAAAGCAGGCCCTCCCTAGTTCCATCCCTGGCACCGGGGCCATGTGGCTGCCACTCAGAGGCAACTGAAAGTGCCATCAGCTGCAGGCTGTCACCACCTGCTGCAATTGGGAGCAGCCCCCAAGGCTGGGGAACCTCAGAGTCCCACCTGCAATGTATTCCCCCAAATGGGGACAATCAGTGCACTCAGGCTGGCTTACTGGGAAAATGAAATATGTCCCCACAGTGGGCACAGGCTGTGCAGAGGGGCACTTAACAGCGAGTCCCAGCCCCTGGTCACGGAAGTCCTACATCAAGGGCCCTCAATCTGGAATGAAAGGTTCCTCAGATGGGAAATTTGCCCAGAGTCTCTCCATCCCAACACCCAGGCCACGGCCACTTCCTCTGCAAAGGCCCCGCAATCCCCGGCAAGTCCCGGGCTTCCGTGTCATGCTCCTGCCCGCTGTACCCGCGCACCCACTCTCCCACCTGCCCGCCTGCCCTGAATCTGGCATCAGCTCACAGGATGCCCCTTTTACAAGCTGGGGGGTGGGTGCTGCCAGGGTCACCCAGCAGGGGAACGGAAGGACTGCAGACCAAGGTGCTCTGCCCAGGTGGGCACTGAGGACAAGGCCGGGGGTGGGCTCCATCTTCCAGGTCCACTGCAAGGCTTTCAGCCCAAGGCTGGCCTCAGCAAAGCTGCACACAGGGGCCCTGGCAGCAGCCTTGAGCCCCTCGACCTCAAGCCCAACCACCAGGCTCAGAAGCTGGGGTCCATAGGAGAGGACGGGCCTGGAGGCCCCAGAGCCGCAGGGCAAGGCATCTGTACTGTCCTTCAATGCACATCCTAACTGTCTCCTACCCCAAAAGAAAGCCTCCCACCCACTACAGAAGTCAGCCAGGACCACGCGGCCCTCCACAGGTCACGCTCCTGCCCGCCCGCCCTTCCTGGAGAGATGGCCACGGGGAGCCTTAGGCGAGCAAACATCGGGAAGTTAACCTGGAAGCCACTTCAAGCAAGGAACCTCTGGAGCCTGGGCCTGGTGCCCATCCAAGCCAGAGTGCCAACACGTCCCCTCTGCCACTGGGCTCAGCTCCTCTAATTATGCGGTGTACCCACCGCAGGACAGCCTCTTTCCCCAGGACACCAAGCCCATCCAGGCTGCCTATGGGCACAGGGCACACGTGCCCAACCTTCCCCAGGAGCCTGGGAAGGAAGGAGGCGGGGGGCAGACAAGGCAGGACCTCTGTTTTGTAAACCACAGAAAGGGCCAGTCCTCCCCTGGCCCTTATCTGCGCCCTTATTTGGGGTGACAACACAGACAGCTGGGTCGATTGGCTCCCAGCGACAGGTGTTCCTTGAGGAGATGGAGACAGGGGCCTCCCTACAGGGTGTAGTGGCTCCACCGGGACGCCAAGGACAGGGACCACGGAAGGCCAAGGAAGTGGCCATTCTGACAACCCATGGCTGCCTCCTCCCAGCAGGGTGCAATTCCATGCAGAGGGACTCAGTTTCCCCGCCAAGGGAGGGAGGCAGGGGAATGGCCTCAAGGGGAAAGGAGATGGGGCACAGCAGAGTCTGGAGGGGGACAGCCGAGTCTGCAGTGAACAGGACTCCCCCTGATGGGACGTGTCCAGGCAGGACCAGGGAGGTGAGGGTAAGTGTCCTGTGGATCACAGCCAAAGGTCTAGCCCTGCAGAGACATGGGGACAGCAAAAGGGAGACACTATGGAGCGGGTCAGAGGCAAGCCCTGGGCAGAGAGGGGCTGTCACAAGACATAGAGGGCAGACCCCCAAAGGTCCTGGGGGCCAATGTGAACAGCAGATGCAGGGGGCTGCCCAGGAACTCAGGATGCAGGGACCTGACCTGGACAGCAAAGGCAGGTGCTAACTCCAGGTGCACTCAGGCTGGCTTACTGGGAAAGTAACTGCCCAACCTGGACAGCAGAAGCAGGAGACTGGCCCTGAAGGAAGCCAGGGCCCCCGTCAACACAGGCAGAGGCTGACCACAAAGAGTTCCAGGGGCTCTGGCGTGAACAACACAGGCAGGGGCTGACCCCAGAGGGATCCAGGAGCCTTCCCTGGACAGCATGAGCAGGGGCTGACCACAGAGGACTATAGGCTAACCCCCCAAAGAGCAGGTCATCACGGACAGCATGGTAAGAGCTGGTCACAGACGGATCCAGGCTATCCTGGACATCACAGCAGGAACAGACCACAAAGGAAACTGGACTGACCATCAAGTAATCAAAGCCACCCTGGACAGCTAGGGCAGAGGCTGGCCACACAGAGATCTGCGGCAGAGCTGACCACCACAGACAGAGGTTCACCACTGCAGGCCCAGGTCAGCCCGTGCAGGGACTGACCCTTCAGGAATTGAGGCAGGGCTGACCACCACTGGTAGATGCTGACCCTGGAAGGATGGGGGTAACTGACCACCACAGGCCAAAAAAAACACCGCAGGATCTGCAGCAAACCCACCCTCAGCTGCCCAACGCAGCAGGGGCAAGGCTGACCCTTCAGAGACCTGGGAAAGGGCGGATCATCACAGGCACAGACTGACCACTGAGACTGGGACTGCCCTGCACAACTGAGGCAAGAGATGACCCTCTGGGGATATGGGGAAGGATGATCACCATGGGCAGTGCTGACCGTCTAAGTATTGGAAGCACTCGTCCTCTGGGGATAGTCAGGCTCACCACCGGGACAGGGCTTGCCCTCCAGGATCAGAGCAGGACTGAGCAGCGGGAATCAGACAGGCTGACCGCTGTGACAGGGCTGACCATGGAGGGGTCTGGCGCAGTGCTGACTGTCCAGGGACCCCGGGAAGGCTGATCACCAGGGCAGGGTGACAGTCCAGGGAGCCAGAGCAGGGCTGGCCCCCTGGGCCCAGGACCGACCGTGCAGGGGTCCAGGGCAGGGGTGGCCACGCAGGGCCGGAGGCCCCGCTGGCCTCGCGGTCCGGGCCGGCCCCACTCACCCAGCAGCAGAAGCTTGAGCTCGCGCCGGGCGTCGCGCTTGTCCCGCCGCAGCTGCTTCTCGATCTCGGCGTTGATGCGCTTCGACTCCTTCACCTCGTCGCTCAGGCAACACGCCATCATGGACTCCAGAGTCATCGTCCCGGCCCCGGCCGCCGCCGGCCGCCCCCGCCGCCGCCCCCCGGCCGCCCGGCCCGGCCCGGCCCGCCGGAGCCGCCTCGGCCGCGCACGGCCGCGCCCTGGGTCCGGCCCCCGCTCGGCCGCCGCCGCCGCCGATCCCCGCTCGGCCGCGCCGCCGCGGACCCCGCCGCCGCCCGCGCCGCGCCGCCGCCGCCGCCGCCGCCGCCAACCGCAGCCGCCGCGACGAGCGACGGCGCCGGACAACCTAAGCCACTGGGCGCGCGACGGGCAGGCGGCGCGGCCAATGGGAGAGCGGCGGCCCTGCGCGCGCGCCGCAGGGCGGGGCCAGCGGCCGCCGGGGGGCGGGGAGAAGCGCGTGGGGGCGGGGCGCGCGGGCGGGGCGGGCGCGTTTGGTTGCGCCGACGTGGGAAGGGGCAGCGCCGCCGGGAGCCGGGCGAGGCCGCCCGGGATTGTGGGAATGCGGCGGACTGGGCCTCGACTCGGCCCCCCTCGGGCGCGCTCGGGTGCCCTCGGCCCGGGTCTGTGCGGCCTGCGATGCAGGGAATCACCTGGCCTGGGGCGCCTGCATGCCTCGAACAGGCGTTAATGGGCGCCTGCTGTATGCTAGGCAATAATGCAGCGCTTGCCTTAATACCAGACAGACGCAAGCAGGAACAGAGTGCCTACTGTTTACCGAGCATTGATGCAGTACCTGCTAAAGAAGAGGCCCACATCAGGCATTAGTGCTGTGCCTACCATATACCACCCAGCAGAGCAGGAGCACGAACAGAGCGCCTAGTGTATACCAGGCACATGCCTGGCATCAGTGGAACACCTGCTGTATACCAGGCACTGCCTATGCCCCTTAGACCAACACAATGAGCTGACCTGCTGGTCCTCATCAGGGCAGGTGAAACCAAGCTTCCACCAGAATTGCAGAAACATAAACTGTTCCTCTGACGCCCTTGACTTTGCCTAAAGCTCTTTTACACGTCTCCAAGGCCTGCAAGCTCTGTCCCCCCAAATGCCTTCTGGGGATACCCTTCCTGACCCCTCAGCCTGTGTTCCTTGGGTGGCTGGATGCAGCCTCGGGTTCCCAGCCCACAGTGAGCTGCCTGCTGGTGGCCACTTGGAGCAGGGCTGGCCGGCCGCCACCGTGGTCACTTCTGGCTGCCGCCAGCTCTTGTACTGCAGATCTCAAAATGGCTTTTACATTTAAAAATAGAACGATATTCTGAGACATGTGAAATCCAAATTTCAGCGTCCACAAGAAAGCCTCAGTGACCTGTGGACTCCCGGGTGGGGGCGCGTGGGCCAGCCCTAGAGGGGCCTCTTTTTGGGGGACTGGAGATTGAACCCAGGGGCGCTACCACTGAGCTCCATCCCAGCCCCTCTGAAACATTTCCTCTCTGGCCTTTTACAGAAAGAAACCTCAACACACAGCAGAGCCTGTCACTGTGCCGGGGACGATGGCGCGTTCTTGGGGCAGAAAGCTCATTTCACAGAGGAGTGAACTGAGAGGTTCCCTGACGGGGACACCTGTGTCCCGACCTGGCTGGACCCGCTCTCTCCCCTCCTGGCCCTGCCCCCACCTGGCCCTGGCCGGGTTCCCAGGGCGGACGCCCGTCAGCCATCTTGGAGCCGTACCTTGGCCCACTGCTGTCAGCGTCTTGAGATAAGTGGGGAGGGGGGTCAAAGTCTCCGTTTACTGGCTGATTGGGGGGTGGGGAGTTTATCTCCCTGAAACCCTGGACTCTGGGGCCTCCATTCTCACCTCAGCTGGGTGCAGCCCGGTCTGGGGCTCCTGGGGCCCCCCACAGATGGATTTAAGCTTCATTCAGACAGAACCTACCACCAAGGGCACAGCGAAGAAAAACACCGTCATCCAGACTCTGCTCAACAGGCCACCTCCCGCAGGGGTCCTCCCCTGAGGCCCCAGAGGCCTGCACCCCACACGCCCTGTGGAACCTGCCCCAGAGCGGCTCAGGCTGAAGTCCCCTCTTCACCTGCTCCTAGCCCTGGACTCCGGCCCCAGCTGGGAGGGGGTTCGTCTGGTCACTGCTGTACCTAGGATCTGGCCTGGCCTACAGTAGGTGCTCAGTGAACACTGAAGCAGTGGGCCCATGAATGCACGTGTGCATCTCAGGGTAACAGGCTTGAGGGGTGCTGTTGTTCTGGGGCCGGGGATTGAACCCAGAGGCACCCCGACACTGAGCCACATCCCGGCCCTTTTTGTTTTTTTGAGGTGGGGCCTCACTCCGTTGCTAAGATCGGCCTCAAACTTGCAGCCCTCCTGCATCAGCCTCCCAAGTCACGAGTGACAGGCGAGCGCCACGTGCCCGGCTGGTCTGGGGTCCTTGATGGCTGCACCTCAAGGCTGGTGTCAGCAATAGTGACTGCATGTGTTCTGGTCACCCTGGTACAGTCCTTGTCCCCTGCCAGCCATGTGTCCAGGAGGGCAGCCACTGCGGGCTCCTGATCCCCATGGGGCTGGTCTCGTCCCCCCTACCCGCCTCTCCAGGGTGGCTCTTGGTCCTGCCTCCCCTGCGTGTCACCCCCAGGCCGCCCCAGCCCTAGACTCGGAGTCCAGCTGCCCCTGGACACGGGGCCCTGGGGGTCACATTCCAGCCTGACCGAGCCCTGGTCTTGCCCCAGAAGGCCTCCCTCTGAGCCCTGGGCCTACGGTGCCCGCCCCAGGTACCACCTGGCCGGCCGGCCTCCTCCTCTGGGCCCCTCTGTTCCTCCCCGGGGGTAACCCCCGCGCCCCTCAGCCCTGCTCTCGGGGTTCTAGCGCCCTCCACAGCCGAGGTGGGGGCTGGGAACCGATGGAGGATGGTCCCCACGGGGCGAGGGCCACTGCTGCAATCAGGTCTGCCGTCTCCTGTGCTGCGTCCCCGGCCTAGAACTGCACCTGGCATACAGTAGGTGCTCAGTAAATGTTTGTGCCATCCAAGAAGGACCCCAGCCACCAAGACAGCCCCCGGGCCCTGTTCCCCGGCGCTCAGGGCCCCGCGTGAGTGGACCTGGGAGTGACCAGCCTCCCACACGGGCCCAGCAGGGAGGGTGGGCGTCACTTCAGAGGTGACGACGGAAGGTCACCCAGGCTCCCATCAGGGCTCCCCCCCCCCTGCTCCAGGGGCCCAGCGTCCGCGACCTGAGGAGACCAGCCATGCTGCTGGGGGGCCCTGGGACAGCCCAGGCCTCTCGCTGGGCGGCCTTGGCCGTGCTCCCCAGCCCCGTCCACCCTGCTGAAGCCCTGAGTGCATTCAGGAGACCCCCGGCCCGAGCCACCAGCGGCACTCACACTCCTGACCCCGAGGTGTGACCCAGACACTCGGGGTGACAGAGCAAGAGCCCATCTTGAAAACAGGAAGGAAGGGTCAAGCTGAGGCCGGGCCGGCCACCTGAGCGACTTGGGAGGCTGAGGCAGGAGGAGGGCA